GAGCCAAGGTTAGGAGGGTATTGCAGGGCATGTTCCATGTGTGCCCTTGGTTTCATATCAGGGGCAAAAGGTGGGGGACTTGAATGAGATCTTTGGGCACAAGTGGAGCCTCTGCCCTGAGGCTTCAGACATGGGCTCAGCCAACCTGGACCATGTGGAGTTTGCATTGTCCTGTCAATCTGTAGAAAGCCCATGAGACTTATGTGTCAACCCTGAGGGGAGAACCTACTTCCTCAGGCTAAAGGATGTGTCTTAGTGGTGGTTAGCACTGGGGACAGAATCCTTCAGGGAGGAAGGTGCTGTCTCCTACTTTCGGAAGAAGGAGGACATGTGACTGTCTGGGCACCCTGACCTCCAGTTCTTCCCAAGTCACTAACTGTTTGATTGAGAGGTGGCTCCACCCTCAGAATGGTTCTTTGTACCAATATCCAGAGAATGCCTACTAGGTGTCAGACACTAACCTGGGTGCTCAGTGTGGGCTATCTATACCATCATGCCTTGTGTCATGGAGTTCACAGTGTAATTGGGGCAGCAGTTAAATAAAAGTCTCTGTCAAGGAAGACGGGTGTAGGAAGGTCAATATGGATAAGAAACACCTTTGGTGGGGAGTGGCCCCGATTCAGAATTCCTAGAGATGGACACAGAGCTCAGTCGGGATTAGTAGACTCCTTATTGGCAAGGGGAGGAGGGGTTGCCAGGCCAAAGCACTGCTGGTGCAAAGGCTGGAGTGTATGGAAAGGCAGGTGTGGCCAGGCCATCAGCCAACCATTTGGTACTGTCAATGCGTGGAGAACACCTGAGGGGGTTTAAAGATCTCAGTTGTCTCATGGTTAGATGTGAGTTTTAGAAACGTCACTCTGTCCTGGCCAGTTTGGCTCAGCGGTTAGAGCCTTGGCCTGCGGTCCAGAGAGGCCCAGGTTTGGTTCCCACTAAGGGCACGTACCGCAGTTGCAGTTTGTCTCCAGCCCTGGTTGGGTCTTGCGGGTGGCAGCCATTCCCTGTGTCCCTTTCACGTCGATGTTTCTCTCTCTCTCTCTCTCTCTTCCTCTCTCTGCCTCCCGCCCTGTCTGAATAAAAAATGGAAAAATGTCCTCAGGTGAGGATAAAAACAAACAAAAAAATAAATAAATAAATAGAAAGGTCACTCTGGAGACTTCCGGTCAAGATGGCGGCATAGGTAAACGCGGTATCGCGTCCTCCCACAACCACATCAAATTACAACTAAACTACAGAACAACCATCATTCAAAACCGCCTGAAATCAAGCTGAATGGAAGTCCTACAACTACGGAATTAAAGCAGCAGCCACATCGAGACTGATAGGAGGGGCGGAAGTGGACGGGCTGGTCCCACACCCACATGTGGCGGATAAAAATCAGGAGGACACATCGGCTGGGAAGGTCCTCCCTGAGGACTGAGGGGTCCCCGTCCCACACTAGGCACCCCGCTGAGGGTTCCAGTGCCAGGAAGAGAATCCCCATAACTTCTGGCTGGAAAAACCAGCGGGAACTGAGGCTCAGGGAAGCTGAGGTGGCTGGAGCCCCAGGCAGCTCCTCTTAAAGGGCCCGTGCACGGACTTATCGGACTCACTCCCTCTAAGCTTAGAGGGGAGGCAGCTCGAGGGGCACCAGAGACATACAGGGAAGAACTGAGCTGTTTGGCACTGGAGCGAGGGCTGGAGAGGGGGCTTTTTCCGGGAAAAACATACTGTCAGAGGCCTTTGTTCCTTTGGTGAGCCCTTCCCTGGGACACGCCGCCATATCTGGGACTCCAGCAACCTGGCTCACACTGGTAGCCCCGCCCTGGTAATTCCCTGAGGCCCCGCCCCACCCAACTTTCAAGCCCACCCAAGCTGTTGCCAGTTGCTTAACCATAGGATTGGCCTGTTTTGGATCCTGCTTCAGGTTTTCCTAAATTCTTTCAAACAAGCAGCATGGGGTTTCAGCTAGCCCCATACCTCTCATTAAGCAATACATAGAAACAAGCATAGGGAGGCAGCCAAAATGAGGAGACAAAGAACAGGTCCCAAATGAAAGAACAGAACAAAACCCCAGGAAAAGAACTAAGCAAAATGGAGATAAGCAACCTAACAGATGCTGAGTTCAAAATACTGCTTATAAGGATGCTCGATGAACTTAGTGAGAACCTCAATGAACTTAGTGAGGGCCTTCAGAGCATAAAAAAGGAGCAGTCCGACATGAAGGATACACAGAAATGAAGGAGGCACTAACAGAAATATAAAATAATTTACACAGATTCAATAGTAGAGTAGGTAAAGCCAAGAAGCAAACCATTGATTTGAAATATAAGGAAACAAAAAACACCCAATCAGAACAGCAAAAAGAAAAAAGAATCCAAAAAAATGAGGATAGTGTAAGGAGTCTCTGGGACAACTTCAAGCATGCCAACATTCACATCTTGGGGGTGCCAGAAGGAGAAGAGAGAGAACAAGAAATCGAAAACCTATTTGAAACAATAATCGCAGAAAACTTCCCTAACTTGGTGAAGGAAACAAACATACAAGTCCAGGAAGCACAGAGAGTCCCAAACAAGATGAACCCCAAGAGGCTCACATCAAGACACATCATCATCAAAATGCAAAAGGTTCAAGACAGAGAGAGTCTTAAAAGCAGTAAGAGAAAAGCATTTAGTTACCTACAAGGGAGTTCCCATTAGGCTGTCAGCTGATTTCTCAAAAGAAACTTTGCAGGCTAGAAGGGAGTGGCCAGAAATATTCAGAGAGATGGAAAGCAAGAACCTACAACCAAGATTACTCTATCCTGCAAAGCTGTCATTTAGAATCGATGGCCATATAAAGAGTTTCCCAGACAAGGAAAAGCTAAAGAAGTTCATCACCACCAAACCATTATTATATGAAATGTTGAAGGGTCTTTTTGAAGAAAAAGATAAAAAATATGATCAAACAAAATGGCAATGAATACATATCTATCAACAATTGAATCTACAAATAAACAAGCAGAACAGAAACATTCTCATAGATATAGAGAACATTTTGTTGGTTGCCAGGTGAGGGGGGGGGGGTTGGGAGAATGGGTGAAAAAAGGTGAAGGGATTAAGAAGTACAAATTGGTTACTAGACTGACAAATCTCAAAGGGAAGGGGGTTTGGAAGATGGGAAGAAATAAACCAAATAATTTATATGCATAACCAATGGACACAGACAACAGTGTGGGAAAAGGCAGGAGTGGGGCAGGAGTGGGTCAATGGGGGAAAATGAGGACCATCTGTTGAATGAACATACATTGAACAATAACGACTAAAAAAAAACAAAAACAAAAAAGAAATGTCACTCTGACTGGAGACTAGAGGGTAGGGCTTTGCCAGGGTGTCAGTTAGTCTACTGCTGTGGTCTGGGTGAGAAGTGATGATGACATGAAGGGGTGAAGAGAGATTTAGAAGAAGCAATTCACAGGATTAAATAACTGGATATGGAATGGAGAAAAAGGAAGACTTTCAGATTTCGGACCTAGATGCATGAAGTACAGGCAGACACAGATAGGGAGAAAATAGAATCAGTGGATGTGAGGGGAGAAGAGTAGACTGGGTTAGAATTGGCAGTGGCCTACCCTCGTGTAATCACCTACCTCTCTATATCTACGTATATTCCTATTTCATTTACATAAACACTTTGAGTTAGGTGGCGTTGCAATATTTCAGATTCTAGGTTAGATGCATGATACAGTGCAACAAATAGTAGGTGGCTGAGCCTGCATTGGTGTTCAAATGTCCAGATTACAAAGACGGCACTTTTGGACTATAATCCTATGGCTTCCTGTTTTGAATGTGTTAAATTTTTAAAATGCCTGTTGAGTTTCCAGATAAAAAAAAGTACAGAAAGAACATGCCTGCATAGATTTGGGCCTCACAAAGTCATTTTGGTTGCAGATTGTTTGGAGTTTGCTTTTTTTTTTTTTTTTTTATACTCACCCAAGGATATTTTTCCATTTTTTGTACAGATAAAGTGGGAGGGAGAGAGAGGAAGGGAGAGAGAGAGAAACATCAACATGAAGGGACACATCGAGTGGCTGCCACCCGCACCACCAACCAGGGCCGGGGACAAACTGCAACCGAAGTAGTAGTGCCCTTAGCGGGAACCGAACCCGGGTCTCTCCGAACCGCAGGCTGACGCTCTAACTGCTGAGCCAAACTGGCCAGGGCTGGAGTATGCTTTTGAGAAACATATCTCAACTCCTTGATTATGAACCTTGATTAAAAAAAAAAAATCTTACTCTAATTCCTGCCTTGCCTGGGGCAAGCTGTATTGCATCTTTACTACTATGAACTTTCTTTTCATCCTTCTCCTAGTTTGCCTTGAGCTGTATAGCTACTTTCATCCTGACTCTATTTCAAATCAATACAATCATGGATACACCCACTAGAGAGATTTGAGCTTTTAGCCATTTTGGAGAGCTTTTTTTTTTTAAGGTTGAGGAGAGGAGAGTGTCTCTGTATTCTGAGGGGAAAGAAAGTACAGAGTGCTTCTTTCCCTTTCCCTTGACACCCCTAAAAAAGTAAACAGCTGTATGCCTCTGTAAGTGCTAGCTGCTTCGTTACCTGTTGTCCAGTTCAGTCCAGTTATGTTTAGTTTGTAAAAAATTGAGAAGTTTGTCTTTTTGGTAACCCATTAACCCATTCTCCTGTCATCTTTTCTCGTCCTCACTCAAATAGGCTACACTTAATTTGCACAAGAGGAAATACATGGAATACCCGCAGGAAGCCCGTCACCGAACAGTGAAGGATGCCAGTGCGGAGACGTTTTGATGTGCCAGACTCCTCAGACTACAGTGTGTTCCATCCTTTGGCAATCTCAGCAGAAATGGTATTCAAAGAAAACATTTTCTGAAATAAGAAGCTCCTTGTACATTTTTAATGACCATCCTACCTTAAGATGAGCATCTGTTTTACGGAATACCAAGTTTTATGGTCTCGACGAAGCAAATGCCCACTTAACACTAATCCTAAATGAAAATGGACGTCAGAATGTTTGTTAGTGGCAGAAGAGTGAAAAAATGGCAGTTTGTCCAGGTCATTGCCACTTGTTTTATACTGAGCCTCATGTTGTTTTGGGAATCATTTGATAATCACATTGTGAGCCATATGAAGTCCTACTCTTACAGATACCTCATAAATAGCTACGACTTTGTGAATGAGAGCCTGTCTCTTAAGCGCAGTGAGGATGGGGCTCCTCGCTACCAATACTTGATTAACCACGAGGAGAAGTGTCAAGCACAGGATGTCCTCCTCTTACTGTTTGTAAAGACTGCTCCTGAAAACTACGATCGACGTTCTACAATCCGGAAAACATGGGGCAATGAGAAGTATGCTCAGTCTCAGCTTAATGCCAACATCAAAACTCTGTTTGCCTTAGGAACACCATCTAATCCGCTGACAAGAGAAGAACTGCAAGGGAAGCTGGTTTGGGAAGACCAGATGTACAATGATATAATTCAGCAAGACTTTGCTGATTCTTTCTACAATCTTACTCTTAAATTACTTCTGCAGTTCAGTTGGGCAAATACCTTTTGTCCACATGCCAAATTCCTTATGACTGCTGATGATGACATATTTATTCACATGCCAAATCTTATTGAATACCTCCAAAGTTTAGAACAAATTGGTGTTCAAGACTTTTGGATTGGTCGTGTTCATCGTGGTGCCCCCCCGGTTAGAGACAAACGCAGCAAGTACTATGTCCCCTATGAAATGTACCAGTGGCCAGCTTACCCTGACTACACCGCTGGAGCTGCCTATGTGATCTCTAATGATGTAGCTGCCAAAGTCTATGAGGCCTCGAAGACACTTAACTCGAGTCTTTACATAGATGATGTGTTCATGGGCCTCTGTGCCAATAAAATGGGGATAGTACCACAATATCACGTGTTTTTCTCTGGGGAAGGTAAAACTCCTTATCATCCTTGCATCTACAATAAAATGATGACATCTCATGGACACGTACAAGATCTTCAGGACCTTTGGGAAGATGCCACAGACCCTACAGTAAAGACAATTTCAGAAGGTTTTCTTGGCCAGATGTACTGCAGGATAATTAAAATAGTTCTCCTTTGCAAATTGACCTATGTGGACACATATCCCTGTAGGGCTGCCTTTGTCTAATAGTACTTGAATGTTGTATGTTTTCACTGTCACTGAGCCATGCCTGGATGAAAACCTTTAAATGTCTGTCTAAGCCCTAAGTGAAAGACGAATATGAAAAAAAAAAAAACCCACAAAGAAATATTTTGAAAGCACAGCCTCTCAAAATGTTTCTTTGATTCTAGAAGCTATTCATTATAACCTATCTACTTCATTGCCTAAATCCATTTCAAGGAATTTGTATTTAGAAAAGGTTTATGAAAACAAAACTGAAGTTCTCAATGCCACATGTATATTTGTAGTATAGAGACGTTATTAAGGAAACTAGGTGTTAGAGTAACTGCTGAATGCAGAATACCAACTGAATGCAAAGTATAACATTTCAAAGAAAGGAATATATTGTTAAACTAGGTATACAAGTTAATTTTTATTAAAGAGCACTTGTTGGAAATGGTGTGGTCAGGGGAGGATTGGCATAGGAGAAAGTACATGAATCTGGTAAAAGTAGGTCTCATTCTTCAGAGGAGATTTAGGAAAATGTACAGCAGGTCCTCGAATAACCTGGTTTTGTCAAACATCATTTTGTTATAATGTTGATAAGATACTGTAGAACTTAATTTGTGTATATCAATTAGCCTATTGTAAAATTGTTTCATTATACATTGTTTTGTTGCAGTTCCAACAACTTTTCGACAATGTTAAGTGAGGACTTACTGTACACAATCTCTTTATAAACAGCCAAATCACTTGTCACATCTATACAGCTATTTGACCTACATAGTGCTGGAGCCATTTAAAACGTATTTATGTCCTCTTTTTCAAAGTTTAATGTAAAATTGAAGAAGTCATTAACTCTGCCCTAACTGGTACTTTATATGTTTTTGTTTTGTTTTTGTTTCGTTTTATTTGATCATTAGGAAATGACACACAACCTAGGCAGCTTGTTATCCATAGGGTCCTTCTGTAGGGAGAAATCATTATTAATTCAAATAAGCTGATTGTAATTTGATGAGTTTTTTAACCGGTTTTTAAATAATCAATATCAGTCTATTTTAAGGTAGTTATTTGAATGTAGTTTACATAGATGCATATAATGAGACAACTTTAAAAAAAAAAAACATTAAAAACCTCTTTTCTCTATAATTTATAAAATAAAATTCTTAGTGTCTAAATTATTGTAATGATTACTAAAATTAGCCTACCCCTCCCCAACAAGATCTTATAAACCGTAGTACTTTGTTCCAATTTCAGATTTTAAAATTGAGTATTCAACATCACATCAAAGCTATAGTGTCTTTTAAAAAATCTGTTCTTTCATCAAAATGACTATCAGATGTGTCTTTGACTTTTAACTATTTCAAACTTGAAATCAGAGTGAAAGATAGAAAAGTTGCCAGAATGAGATTTAAAGCATTTGTAAAGCTGTGTGTTCCTTATAATCAAAGAGATGTGGCTGAGACCCAATAGAGTGAGTTTCATTTATTTTACAAAGCAGGGTAGAAATGTGGCCATGGTGCAAACAACCTCCCCTCACTACAGAAAGAACTAGGTGATGTCTATTTAATAATAGACTACAGTAATGGGGAGTTATCTGAAGGCCAATAGAGACGTCAACAAAAGCATTTGCACTGATTATAGAACCGTTGTCTGCAGAGATGCTTGTTAGGGAAAACTAAGATGTCTCATTTAATTAGATGATGTTGGAAACATGGAAAACAAAACAGAACTAAGAAAATAATTCTCAGTAAACACAACTAGATGATGACGTATAATTTTTTTTTTTTTTTTTGCAGGTAGCTTTTTAATGTTTACATAATTTTTAATTTTTTTCTATTTCGAAAACCGAGGCTTGTTTACATTAATTGCTCAGATAATTTAGAATTTTTAACTAATGTCAAAACTAGTGTCAACCATTATAGTGTACAGTTACCTTCAGAGTAGGTTCAGGATTTTTAGATCATTACAGTTTAAATTTTCTGACCAATTTTAAAAACTAAAGAATAAAAGCACATTTTGACAAAGCAGATTTATAATTAATTTTTATTAATTGAGTCTTCAATAACCATTTGCCTTTTGGCCATACATACCCTGTATATCTGTACTTATTAACTGTTTAAACTTTTCATTGGTTGAAAACAGTGTCTCTCCGGCCATCAAAATGTTCTTGTTTACAGCAATACTTTTGTGAAACAATTATTTATTTGTGAAAGCTCTCCTCAACTGTCTTCATCTTTTTATTTTTGCTTAGAATAGAACAGATTTAAATGTAAAGGAAATATGAAGGCACTTCCTTTTTTAATAAGAAGGAAAATGCTAGATGCTTCCTTCATCAGACTTAAAGTACTGAGAGGAATATTTGTAAATACAATAAAAAGATTCCAACCATTTAAAAAGGTAGACAAAACTTTGGTGCTCTAATGCAGGGCTGTCTTAAAAATCATAAACAAAGGGAAAATAAGCAATCAGCCTGGATGGTCACTTAAGCAAAAGATGGTTGTACACAGTATTACTGCTAAAAATTTTTTACCTCTTGGTTGGTTTGCATCTTTTTTTCCATATTAATTTTATACCAGAATGTTAAATATTTATATTATTTGAATTTTGCTTATATGTCAAAATAATTAGTGTTTTTTTAAAAAAAAAATAAATCTGTGATTTACAATAAACAGCTTGAGACTTGTCAGCAGATGTGTATTTTCACAAGGGTTTTTAAACCTCTGTGTGAACACCACTTGTTTATATATAATCAGCTTGTTTTGTTTAATGCTAGAGAGGCCTATAGTACACAATATTAATTCTACTGCTGTTCCAACTTGCTCTGTGCCTAGGATGGATGTGTCCTCCGCATAGTGAAGCCACCTAAAATGCCTCTTCTTTTTTTTTTTTTTTTTATTGACTTACATTTGAATGTCTAAGTGAGGGAATTTTTCTAATAGATCATTTAAGATGGGATAATATAACCAGTAGCAATAGTGCCTTAAGACCCCATTTGAAAAAGTCACATTTTCCTTTTATTTGATAATATAGCTGACTGAATGTAGATTCAGATTTATCCCTAGTCTCTCATGTCAGGAATGTTCTCAGGCTCCCGATGGAGTGTTTGGTGCTTCAGTATGTTGTACATAGTTTGTTCTCATCTGCTTTTCACTTGAGTCCTGCTCACTTCTTAGTATAGTGTATGGTGTGATTCAGTCTGTATATTTTTAAAACTTGGAGGCATCTGAGTTATTTGGTTGTAGTAGAACTTTGCAAGGCATGGTTGAGGTGTCTGTATTTGGGACTCAAATGATGATCAGTTGGAAGAATTAATGAACTTGACCCATATGTGGGACTTCAGTTGAATTCCATAGCTGCAATGAAAATCAGACCAGAAAACTCTGGATATGCAGGATTATTCATTCTGCTGTAATGATGAGAGAAATGCTAGGTGTCTCCTTGGCTGTTTCCCTGCAATCTCGCAACAAGGCTCAGTCATGGCTTTCTTTACGATAATCCTTTGCTCCTGACCTCCAAGGCTCCTTATTGCCTCCAGCATCAAATCTAATCTCTCCTACCTGCTTTTCAAGGCCTTATGTAATCTTCCTTTCCATCTTCATTCCCTGTAGCTTTATTTTTCCCATTGCCACTATTCTCCATCACAAATCTCATTCATGACACACCATTACGTTCATTTCCCTTGCCAAGAACCTCGTTTCTCTTGTACCTGTTGAAATCTTGGAAATCCAAACTTAACTGTTCTACCAAGCTCCTCCTACCCTCCCCCCAAATATACATTTACTATAAATATACACTTACCACATATATTTTTGTGTTACCTACTACTTGTTTTTTCTAACTGAAACTGAAGGTAGGGACTGTGCACAGTGCTATCACACAGTGCTTAAAAATCTTTTTTTTCCCCAAGTATAATAAAGTAGTGTTATTCTGGCAATTCATCCCAATATGAAGAGAAGATTAATTATTCAGAACCCTAATGGACACTATCTGACATAACATTTACCTATACTACTTAAAAGTTTACAATTTATTTGATGAAATCTGAATACTTACCACATGCCAAGCATATTGTATCTGTCAACTTTAGCTCCAACAAATTTGTATTAGTTATGCATGAAAAACTCAGATGTATAAAATCAAAGCTGAATAAGGAAATACAGATCAAACTGTTGCAGCAAAGATTTGTGATTTTAAGGTATTCAGAGCTGGTGATAATCTTATAAATTCTATCTTCTGCTTAATCCACTAGCTATTTTTGCCTTTTTGAAAGTTCTTTTGCAAGAATCATAAAGATAGCCCTGGCCGGTTTGGTTCAGCGGTTAGAGCGTCGGCCTGTGGTCCTGAGAGACCCGGGTTTGGTTCGCGCTAAGGGCGCGTACCTCGGTTGCAGTTTGTCCCCAGCCCTGGTCGGTTGTGCGGGTGGCAGCCACTCGATATGTCCCTTCAAGTCGATGTTTCTCTCTCTCTCTGTTCCTCTCTCTCCCTCCCACTCTACCTGAACAAAAAAAAAAAAGGAAAAATGTCCTCGGGTGAGGATAAAAAAAAAAAAAAAGAATCATAAAGATATTTTTGTTTCATTAAATGCTCTAACTTCTTTGTAGTCTCATTAGAAGAATGTTTGAATGGTCTACTATAAATTAATACAGTAATTCATCAACTAACTTACAGGACCCATTTAACTAAGACTTCTATAATTATAAGACTTATAAAAGACAATTCTAAAAGTAAAATTATAATTATAAAAGTAGATAGGGTTGTAGTAATAGTCAGGGAAGTCCCCCAAAGATATACCATCACTTGAGAAAAACAACATAACACCTTGCCAAGGACTGCTTTTTAGAGACAATCCAATTAAACACACTTTCAGATATGTTGAATTGGGCTATTTACTGTGACAAAGATACATTTCCATCAGTACAGAGCCTGTTTCCTGAGTGCACTTTAAAGTGAAAGAATCTAGAGTAGCCTAATTAAATGAATTTTGGCTTTAAGGAGCAAGTTCCTAAAGATGTTTGTTCATTCATTCTATAGGCACGTTTTTAGAGGCCTGTTAAGAGCTAAACATAATAGACCCTGGGAATAAAAACAACTCATAAGTCAAATGGTGTGAGTATAAACTATGTGATGAATGCTAGAACAGAGGTAATGAGGGGTGTTCTAAATATAGAGAAGATTAAAAAACAGTGAATTGCTCCTGCTTTATCACTGAGCAGTCCAATGTATGCAAACACTCCTATAGGCCAAAAATAGCATTACATTTGTATAAATTGTATCTTTTGGGAACCCATTGCCCTTAGGTGCTTTTAAACCAATAATTCAATTAATAGTAACAATAGTTTGCACTGATTGTTTCCTTGATAACTCTTTTTTTTAACCCTAACCCAAGGATATTTTTTCCATTGATTCTTTTAGATAGAGTAGGAGGGAGGGAGGGAGGAATGGAGGAAGGGAGGGAGAGAAATATCAATGTGAGATTCATTGCCTCCCGCATGACCCCAACCAGGGCCAGGGATGGAACCTGCAACCGGGTTATGTGCCCTTGACTGGGAGTTGAACCCAAGAGTTTGGTCCATGGGCCAACACTCTAACCGCTGAGCAAAACCAGCCAGGGCAAGTACTCATTTTTTTAAAACACTGAGTATCCTTGGAAACTTGGTTTATAGGATGTCATTTTTAGTTCTTGCTTGTTGCTTTTATGAGATTCATAAATTTTGTTCTCAAGCACATAAATGAAGGTTAATATACAGAATAAATATGTGATTTTGTCTGGGAAAGATAGTGATGAAACTTAAAACAGAGGATACTCTATCCTGTCCCCCCAGCCCTCAAGGGGTTAAAGTGACTTCTACAAAGGGATCTGCAATCTTACCTGCTGGGGGAAAGATTTTCAGGCCTGTCAAGCTGCTCCTGCCCGGGGTTCTCCCCATCATGAGTACTTTCAAGTATTTCTTCATTCTGAAGTGAAAGAAATTTTAGTAAGATACTCTATTTTATTTGTGGAGCAGCTCTAGAGCTATATCTCCCCCCAGTTTCTTTGGTATTGTTTTTGTTTTTAATTCTCCAGATGAGCATCACATCCAGTTTCTCATCTTTTTCTTTCTTGAGTTTCCCCCAACCATTTTGTGGATCTATTACTGTGGGTCCTTCAGGCTTCCTTTAGGAACATCAAAAACTCATCCTGAAAAGCAGTATTCCTTTTCCTTAATGATGGGCTATTAACATTGTTCTCCTCCCTCTTCCCCGATGATTCACAAAAAAAGGATTCAGAGTTTGAGCTAAAAGATAACGAGATCATATGACAGAAAATACCTATATTTCTTTGTTTCTCTTCTGGGTGAGAAATCAAGGTCTGAAGAAGTGCGATCTGCCCAGGGCCAGAAAGAACTGGAGGCAGAGATGACATACATCTGGTGTCCACTTTCATGGGCTTGTAATCACCTGTCTGTTCCAGCCACCACCTCCCAAAGAAGCTGGTTCCTTAGGAAGTGCAAAGTGGCCAGCAACTCAGGCTTGAAGCCAGCTGGTGGTCCAATGCCCTGCCATGTGTCATGCCAGTCCTGAGACCTTGGGCAGGCAAGCTCACTGAACATCCCTGCCACGGACCACGTGGCACTACTACAGCAAGGCTGTGGCTCTTTCTCAGAACAATACTATGCATTTAATTCTCAAAAAGAGGAAAGACTCCCGCTCAGTTTGATTTCAAGAAAACATCATTTTAACAAGGAAGTGAATTTGTATAACATCGGTAGCAACCAGAGTATCATAAAAGTGTTAACTAATAATGAACAAGTAGATAATTTGCCATCATTTGAGTTCTTCCTGCCTGCCAGGTTCTGTTTAAATGAGTTATTTTACATTCTATAAAAGAGAGAATAGATTTAGAAAGGGCCCTCTAGCAAAAGTATTCTTAACAAAAGTTTAATTAATAAAAATAAAGATTCCTGCCCTGGCCAGTTTGGCTCAGCGGTTAGAGCGTCGGCCTGCAGTCCGGAGAGACCCGGGTTCGGTTCCCGCTAAGGGCATGTACTTCGGTTGCGGTTTGTCCCCGGCCCTGGTTGGTCGTGCGGGTGGCAGCCACTCGATGTGTCCCTTCACGTCGATGTTTCTCTCTCTCTCTCTCCCTTCCTCTCTCTCCCTCCCACTCTATCTGTACAAAAAAAATAAATAAATAAAAAATAAAGATTCCTTGTAAATTAGAGCTGTAAGATGGAGAATGAGCTCTCCCCAGACTGAGGAACTTGCAAAACAAGTGAGAGTGAGATGCTTTTTAGTCTATGGACAGTTTAAGATTGTCCTCTCCCTGGGTCAACAGAAAGCAGTCAAGGTCAAGTTTCTTTGTCATCCACAATGCCAACTACAGGGACAGCAATGAACAATGTTCAGTGGATGAAGGAAAACTGTGGGTCTCCGATCTTTTTCATGGATGTCCTCCCGAATCTGGTATCATATCCAGAAAGCAAGCTAACAAATAAAGGAGTATTTGGGACACTGCTTTTGCTAATTTGGCTCTAAAATACAAGGGGAATCTTACATTCCAAGTTCATATTTTTTTCTTTCAAAACAGGATGTCATTTCAATAAGAATTAAAATTTTTAGTTTCTTCTATTACATATATTTGACCAGAGACTAGAATATATTTTTCATTTCAGTTAATGTACCTAGTAAATGCCAACCCTGGATTCAAACCAATGTAGTTATTCTCACCACACCACCAACAGCTCTTTGTTCACATTTTCTAGATGGTGTTGAACTAATTATCATGGCAGTGAATGTTACATCGCATTATTTTCTAGCCCCTCCTCTGTGTCCTTATTGTGCCTGAAACACCCAGCCTTATTCATCTTTGGATCCTTAACATGTTACACAGGGCCTTCGTTTATAGTAACCACTGTTATTAACATAACTTCTCATTGTGCAACTTGCTACTGCTGATCAAATGAATCGTGCTCTTTCCAATTGTATTGATCTATTGTTAGTGTGGTGGATTGTAGAGTCTCTTATTTCATGACAACCTAACGACGGAAAAATAACAGTGACTCAAGATGTAGGTATAGACTTGGTCATCTTTTACACCAAATGATGGCAACTCTCTATACACTTTGTCATGCATATGATGTCCTCAAGAACTTCCTGAAATGCCTGGGCATGGACTTGGGTGTGTCAACCCATGTTCCTGTGACAACATGTCAGACAGCTGGTGTCAGGGTAGAGGGAGAATCCTCTGCCAACCATTTGATGGAATACAACACTGGTACAAGTGAGATGTGATGGGAAGGATCCACAGCAGATCTGAGGACTGCTTGGAGATATTACAGGTTCGGTTCCAGACTATGGCAATAAAGCAAGAATCAAAATAAAGCAAGTGAGCCCTGTCCAGTGTGGTTCAGTGGTTAGAGTGTCAGCTCACACACCTAAGGGTCTTTGAGTTTGATTCCTGGTCAAGGGCGTGTACCTGGGCTGCAGGTTCCTCTCACGCCCCAGTCAGGGGTTGTACAGGAGGAAACCAGTTGATGTGTTTCTCTCACATCAATGTTTCTCTCTCTCTCCCTCGTTCTCCATTCTCTCTAAAAATCAATGGAAAAACTATCCTCTGGTGAGGATTAACAACAACAACAAAAAAGCAAGTCATAATCTTTTTGCTGGTGGAAGATCTTGCCTTCAATTTGTAAAAACTGGGACACCTGTGAAGCATAATAAACTGAGGGACACCAAGGGTTTGCTAGGGTTTAGACAGATAAGTTGTATTCTAGTACAGAGGCTGTCAAATTTTGACCACATCACAAGAAAAGTGTTTACATCGTAACATACACACACATTTTGTGATTTATAATAAAAAATATACACTTTGTCTTTGTCCTGTTTCTGGCACAGAGCTCCTAACACCTTTGGAATTTCCTAAATGATAAGAGCAATAAAGATGTCTTGATAGTCATAAGTAACCCTTTGGATCAATCACACCTGAGTTTGTTAATGAGGTGACTTTTGGAAAGGGTGTTGGTTACCAGGGAAACCAATCACATAATTAGAGGGTTGGAACTTTCAGGTCCCACCACCACCACTCCCTTCACAGGAAATGGAGAAAGGCTGGAGACTGAGTTCAAAGGCCAGTGGTGTAATCAATCATGCCTAATGAAGACTTCATAAAAACCCAAAGAGAGCTTCCCGGCTGGTGAACATGTGGAGAGTGGCTTGCTCAGAGAGCATGGAAGTTCTAACCGCTTCCCACATACCTTGCCCGATGCATCTCTTCAGTAGGGCAGTGCCTGAATTATATCTTTTTATAAGAAACTCATAATCATTTTTTTTTTAATCTTTATTGTTGGATGTAAAATGTAATACAGATGTTCCACATTTTTCCCCCTTTGACCCCCTCCTTCCCACTCCCGCCCCCTCCCACCTTTTCCCACACTATTGTCTGTGTCCATTGGTTATGCATATAAGTTCTTTGGTTTATTTCTCCCCCCCACCCCCAGGTTTGTCAGTCTAGCAATGAATTTGTACTTCTTAATCTCTTCACTTTTTCACCCATTCCCCCAACCCCCCTCCCATCTAGCAACCACCAAAATGTTCTCTGTATCTATGAGAATGTTTCTGTTCTGCAAGTTCATTTTGTTTGTAGATTCCATTGTTGATAGATATGTATTCATTGCCATTTTGTTTGTTCATATATTTTATCTTTTTCTTCAAAAAGACCCTTCATCATTTCATATAATAACGGTTTGGTGGTGATGAACTCCTTTAACTTTTTCTTGTCTGGGAAAGTCTTTATATGGCCATCGATTCTAAATGACAGCTTTGCAGGATAGAGTAATCTTGGTTGTAGGTTCTTGCTTTTCATCACTCTGAATATTTCTTGCCACTCCCTTCTGGCCTGCAAAGTTTCTTTTGAGAAATCAGCTGACAGCCTAATGGGAACTCCCTTGTAGGTAACTAGCTGCCTTTCTCTTGCTGCTTTTAAGATTCTCTCTTTGTCTTGAACCTTTTGCATTTTGATGATGATATGTCTTGGTGTGGGCCTCTTGGGGTTCATCTTGTTTGGGACTCTCTGTACTTCCTGGACTTGTATGTCTGTTTCCTTCGCCAAGTTAGAAAAGTTTTCTGCCATTATTGTTTCAAACAGGTTTTCGATTTCTTGTTCTCTCTTCTCCTTTGGGCACCCCCAAGATGCGAATGTTGGCACGCTTGAAGTTGTCCCAGAGGCTCCTTACAATATCCTCATTTTTTTGGATTCTTTTTTCTTTTTGCTGTTCTGATTGGGCATTTTTTGCTTTCTTATATTCCAAATCGATGGTTTGCTCCTTGGATTTACGTACTCTATTATTGAAGCTGTGTAAATTATTCTTTATTTCAGTTAATGCCTCCTTCAATTCTAACTGTGTATCCATGATTTCTAACTGGTCCTTTATTATGCTCTTGAGGCCCTCCCTACGTTCACTGAGGTTCTCACTAAGTTCATTGAGCATCCTTATAAGCAGTATTTTGAACTCAATATCTGTTAGGTTGCTTATCTCCATTTCACTTAGTTCTTTTACTGGGGTTTTGTTCTGTTCTTTCATTTGGGACCTGTTTCTTTGTCTCCTCATTTTGGTTGCCTCCCTGTGTTTGTTTCAGTGTATTACTTAATAAGAGGTATAGGGCTCGCTGAGACCAGATGCTGCTCGTTTGAAAGAATTTAGGAAAAACCTGAAGCAGGATCCAGGACAGGCCAATCCTATGGTTAAGCAAGTGGCAACAGCTTGGGTGGGCCTGAAAGTTGGGTGGGGCGGGGCCTCAGAGAGTCACCAGGGCGGGGCTACCAGTGTGAGCCAGGTTGCTGGAGTCCCAGATATGGAGGCGTGTACAAGGGAAGGGCTCACCAAAGGAACATAGGCCTCCGACAGCACGTTTGTTCCGGAGAAAGCCCTCTCTCCAGCCCTCGCTCCAGTGCCAAACAGCTCAGTTCTTCCCTGTATGTC